ATTTGTGGAACGTCAAGGATTGATTTATATTCGGTGTCCAATCGAATTCATCATATATAAATGTATATATAATCGAACGCGCGTGCATTGTTGTACAAACTGTTATAATAAGTTTGCATGCTTTGAGATTTGTATATGCACATGGTCTCGGTACATAATCAGCATCATATCTTGGAGACGGTAGGGGCGGGTGGGGGTGGGGGCACCTGAACACTTTGTATCGACAGTATTCCACTACTATGATTACTTTGATTTCACGTGTATGGAAACTATAACAAGTATTCCACGTGCACCATATAACAATAGTGAGTTTACATACATCACTATATTAGTACGGATAATAATAAATATAAAATGTTAATTGGCATACAGCGCATATGATTCTGTATATTTAAACTGTATCATCTTAAAATTCAAATTGGCAGTCGAACGTCTATGTTGCTCTCGTTTCTCGGTCGTTGCGAGGAGAACGGTGTTTTCAAGTTTTCAAATAATGGAAGATGTCAATTCTTTCTTCTCCATCTTCTTCTTCATCTTCATTCATCTTCTTCATCTTCATCTTCATCTTCTTCATTCATTATCTTCTTCTTCTTCTTCTTCTTCTTCTTCTTCTTCTGCTTTTATTTTTGTATAAACTATCATACACTCTTATAGAAATTGTACCATAATATAGGCGAAGTTATTAATAATGCTTTCGTTTATCGGAAAACAACTCGACTCGGTATAATATATTCTCCATTGAACGGTACTGGAAGAATTGCATCGTTTCAGAAAAAGGTATATGGAATCCGACTCCTTTGTATCGTACTAATCTCAAAAATGTCTAACAGTCCAACAGTTTATGAAGGTCCCAATCTAACATGCTATCGTTTTAGCAAAAGGACGGAAGTGGAAAAGGAAATATACTAGCTGGAATGTATACATGTTTTTTATAGTAATGAAATTTCCAGAGAAATATCAGTCTTTGTGCCGTGTAAGTGTAAAGTGTACTCTTAGTGTATCAAACTAAACTACACTTATGTCCCTTGTTAGTTATTCTTTATAAGGCGTAAGTATTACCCATACTTATTCGTTAAACGTCTAGAGTTAACTTCGATCTAGACAGATTTTTTCGTCCGTGGAATAATTCTTTATCAGTAAAATTATACGGAGTTTCTCGAGATGTCTGTCGCGATACTGGCAAAGCGTTCAGCTCCGAAAAGGGAAACGAAAACGAGAACAAAGATACAGAGTAACGTAAAGCGATAAGTACATGAAACAAATAAAACCACAAAGATTGTGCAATATTCGAGTCTCTGGAAACTTCATGAGAAAGTTCGTAATATGTCGATAGAAAAATAAGCTTTGCTCTATGTAACATAAAATAAAGAAAGAGAATAAAACTGGAAAAACATCGATAGAAATCAACGCGCGTCGTAACGACGTGGAAGTGCGCGATCCACCGCGTTGGAACCGATTCAACGCAATCAGAACAGAATGTTGATTTCCGTGTAGTGTAACGTGTGTTTGCAGATTAATGCAATGGAAAGTGGTGGTGTGTGTCTGATGGTAGAATTTGTCCAGCGTCAGGTTATGCGCTTTCTTTTTTCTAATGAATCGTTGCAAAGTTGTCGAAAGATTCGAAACTCGAGCTCGCACGCGTCAATCCTTTCTTCTGTTCTCACGTTTGCGAACCGTCTTTTTGCTCGTCAGCTACTATATGCGCCGTACCGAGAGAGATATATATATATGTTTCTATGGGCCGCGTTCGCAGCAGAAGCAGTGACGTTCGTCGACGCGACTGAAAGGAGACAATGTCGAGGGGAACAACACGATGACAATGATGATTACGAGTTCAGGCCCTGGCGTTTCTCTTCCTCGAGCATGGCATCAAGTTCGTCCGTCAGGTTGGCAAGCATATTTCCAATGTCGTTCAACACGTCCGCCGGTTCGGTGCTACTGGAATGATGGCTGATCATGTGGCTCTGGATATTGTTGCTGGAATTGTTGCTCGCGTACTCCTGGGCTCGCGCGGACCTCTGCTTTATCGTCCCGGCGTTTTCGTTCGCGAAAGGCAGCGAGTCTGATTCTGTGCTGGAGCTTGACTGCAACAACCATGGGAATTCCATGTAGAAACAGCGCGACAACGAAACGCGATTGAGCCTTTTATTTTGAAATTTCCATTGTCCATTTATTTTTCAATCAAGATATCTCATGGCTTTTAATCGATTTCAAATTGACACTAGAACTACCAGGTGGTCGTCGAAATCACCTATTCCTAATTTCTTCCTTTACAATTACCGAGAAGGTACAGATGCTTCTCTGAGAAATCGTTGAATAAGCTGACTTAGTAATATCTACACTGATGTATAAGCCAACTGAGATCTTCACACTTAGGAAAAGTGTACTTAATAAAAAGAACTATCACTACAGCCTCCTCCATTACCACCAATTGAACTCGTTCAATTGATTCGGTTAGAATCTGTGTTTTGTAAAAACAAGAACCGTATCCGATGAATTGCAAATAATCCCACTTCAAGACTTACGAAGTAACAAAAGAAAACAGAAACAAAATAAAAGGCAATACGTTGCTAAGTGAAAAGTGGGAGATCTCCCCATTCGGTTGGCTAAGTGTTAAGATATTCATGTTTATAGATTTTATAAAATCTCAACCCTTTCACTACTATGCGCCTAAATCCTTGATAACAAGAATAACATATAATTCTATTCAAACAAATGAAACAATATTTATTTGTTCATTGTCACTTGAAATCTTCACCACGAGTCTGACTATTCCAGTACAAGAATAATATATAATTCTACTCAAACAAATGAAACAATATTTATTTGTTCATTGTCACTTGAAATTTTTACCAGGTCTGACTATTCCAATACAAGGGGTCAAGTGCTCGGTAATTCTAGTGTCAAAATCTTCCAGGGGTGTGCAGTTTGCCGATCTAACGATGACCATAGATATCGTTTGAAAAATAAACGGCTCAATTTGCGAGAAGACCTAACCAAGACCTGTACCTTAAAGCTGGCGTCAGAGCCATTACGGTGTTGCAAAGCAAGAGAAGCTATTAATTCATGTTCCTCGTTCACATTAGCGCTGACGCTTCCCCATGAGCGAGACATGGAGGAAGGCGGCCGATTCATCTGCGGCGGGGTCGACGGCGCCGCTGCAGGCGCGGGTGGCGGCGGTGATGGATGATGCAGCAAGTGATGATGTTGATGATGATGCATGTGGGGATCCTCGCAGGACGCGGTCGGCACCGGTCCGCTGCAATCTATCACGACATCGCCGACTCCCGATCCGCCGACGCCGACCACGGACGAACTGTTCTCTCTGGAACTCTGGCGCCTCGGCGGCGACGGCGGGCAGCGTTTCGGCAGATGCGGACTGCTCTCCAGTCCGTACGTCAACTGGTACTTGTTGTCGAAATCCCGCGGCAATGATTTGAACTGCCCTGGAGTTGCGGCGACCTTCGAGCAGAGGATTCAATCGTCAACGCAATGGCAACGTGGAATTCAACGCATTGCGTACCGGCTAATTATCAGAAAATTAAATTGCGTGCATTTTCAGTGAGATCCACTTGTATCGCTATCTATAAAAAAGACTGAGATATCATATTGTTATGTAATATATTTTAAATGGACAATTAGTTCTAATCAAATTTAATATATCCTTAAATGCTGTGGTAATTATCGTAGTTATACAGCTAAGAGTCTCTATATAAAAACGAGATTTCTCGTTACCAGTACGCAATGCGTTAACACGTTAAGCGCCATGTCAGTCACCGGTGACTGACGCCTCTGAATGACTAAAAAACAATCGTAACATACAAGATAACCGATGCGAAATAAAAATCTTTAATAACGCAACTAAGTTGATAATAGTGTAACGCAAACGTTGCAAACAATTCATAATTCTTCCTGCTTTTCCTTGCTACAAAAGACAAACTCTATGGGAAAATGCTTAAGATTTTCATGGCGGTTAACGTGTTAACCCTTTGCACTCGGAGGATAACTCTCATCGTTTCATTTGACGCAGTGGAACTGTAAAATTTAATTGTTCCTTAATGTAGTTGTGACTTTTGTTGGAGTTGATTTCAAGAAATATTCTTTGTCTCGTGAAAAAATGGTAGATATTTCTAGAAACTTCTGAGTGCAAACGACTGAACGATGGTTATTCGAAAATATTTCTATATTATAAATAATGCGGTGACGTTCGGCTGAATGGTGCAATAATCCAATTCAGTCGAATGATTGGATATTATATTTTGATTAATACATATTAAAAGACACTTAGCTCTGCAACTTTGCTAATTACCACATTTAAAAATATTAAATTTGATTCGAATTGGTTATCTGTTTAAAATATACCACATAACGTTATGTCTGAGTTTTTGTATATAGTGATATAAATTGGTCTCATTGAAAATTGCCATCTGCACAATTTTCTGAAAGTTAGCCAATGTGTTAACACTAGATTTACGGACACTTATTGTACAGTTTATTCTATTGTTCCTAGAGCAATTGATATTTGTTTAGATCCTGGAAATTAGGGCTTTAAAAATAGACAATCGGGATACGTATTCGTGAAACTGCATGCATAAAAATCGACGTGAACATTTAACAAATAGTGTGTATAAAATTCAGTGTCAAATTGACGCGTTCCGTAATCCTAGTGTTAACAATATCGAGTTACACTGCATCGCTGTTTAGTCTCCAGCGTGCAAAGTTAACCGATTTCTGGCGAGTGAGCGTAGAACCGTGCATACTGAGAGATGCAACTAGCTGCGTCTTACTTTAGCTACGGGTCTGGGACGAACAAGGCAATGTCTCGGCCGTGGAAGTGTTCCACCGCCGGCTTCGACGATCGAGTTGTCGTTTGTGGGAGTCAGATCGCCGTCTTCGAAGCTGCGTTGACGCCATTCGATGGGTTGCGGGTGTGTGGAAGGCGCCGGGGACGGAGGATACCCGAGCGGTGCGTCCTCTAAGCTTTCCAGGGACTTTCCTCGCGAACTGGTTCGCCCGACAATATTGTAATCAGTTGGCAGAGCGGCGTACATACTTCTCCATGCGGCGCTGGACGTTGTGTCGCTTCCTCCCCTTTGGAAAGACCTCAGGACAGGCGATGAGCAATCCTCGTCTGGGGAGGGTAGATCTGGACCTGCCCGTTGAATAACAACGTCCTGAAAGTGTAACAAAGATGTTTAACATATTCAGTTAATTTTTGTAATAAAATACTTTTTAAGGGACGCATGGTCGAGAATAGCTGTATACGTTACAAAGCACCGAAATCAAGAAACGATATCAAAATATATAAAATTAAAAGAAAACTTGAATATAACTGAATATTTTATTTAAAAATCAAAATATAACGTGTTAACCCTCTATAAGCCGAATTTTTGTTTGTGATTATAACAGGAATTGCTGTAAAATTGATAAGTATCAAGATAAACATTGCAGTACATTGAATGAACCATGTATTGAATAGTTTCGATAATTTCATTGAATATATTCTGTAGCTATCAAGTTACAATGACGTTAAACTTTCCTGAGCGTATAAAAGTTAACTAATTACTTCATTTCATTCACTCTGAATGCAAAATAAAATAAATTAACACTAGAACTACCGAGTATTTAATACAATTAATATGTAATCCCTATACAAATTGTAACAATAGATTATTTTCAGTTGCTTCAAACATTCATTGGAGTATTCAAATGAGGTGTCTTTCTAGTTCAGTTTTATAGTTCCAATCTTATAGTATCAACTAATTTCCTATTTGTGATTTCAAAGTTACATAGGTCTACAGAGATGTTTAAAATGCTACGCTTTAGATACATCTGGGAGATGACTTTACGCTTGGCACAGAAGAGGTGTCTTTCTAGTTTAGTTTTATAGTTTCAATCTTACAGTATCAACTAATTTCCTATTAGTAACAGAAAGTATCAGTAATTCAGAAATCGAGTCAAGGTAATCTAAATCAGAATAAAAGCACAGTCCTCAGCCTAGCCAATCGGTATCACCTAACAGCAGTTACTATAGCGTTGATATGCTGAGAAGATGTCATCGATGTACCTGTGTCTGTCCAGGATGCGGTGGTAACCGGGCAAGATCGAGCGGCTGTATACGTTTACCAGCGCGAATATCTTTGACTCTTTTAATAGCTAACAGTAACTTCTTTTGATGGCCCAGCCGCACAATGCCGATGTCCTCGAGATCCTCCCAAGTGAGGGTCGTTACATCCTCGACCGAACGCATACCCTGTTGATGGAGAGCGCCGAGATACTCCTCCAGCCGTAGAAGTCTGAGCCATTCTTCCAGAGAACCGGGGATGTGTTCTGGCAAGCCGTCTCCGATGTTTAAATTATCTATCTCTGCCTTCAGCCGCTTTCTGTGATTCGGCTTTTTAATTCCTGCAAAGCACAGGCGCGTCGATCATTCATTTTATTACCTCTCCCGACGTGGGAGAAGAAAGAAACGCACACATTACGCAAGATATGATACAATGAAACAGGAACAAAGAGATATCTGTTTCCCGCATAACTGTTCTTTATTCTTTAATTGCCGGGATGACTAATTAAGGAAACTGTGACTGGTACTCAATGATCTGTGACACGAGCATGATATCGGTGTCATGCACGTCAGCGGATTCAGATAAAGCTGCACCGCTGTCGAGGGAGGGGGGGACAATAAAATCATGCTCCAGAAAGGTTAAGGCTCACGTCCAAAACCCTTCGCTGTTGTGCCAGCGGCCCAGACTATAAAAGCCTCGGATGTGTCTTCTGTCTGTCTCGTGTGTCCAATAATTCTGGTCACTCGTTCCAGGCGCATTCCGCGCGAGCATCGCCGCTGGCAAAGAGGCACTCGACCGGGGGAAACAACTGAATTTCATATTATTTTAATGCGCAGTTTACAATTTTCATCGGACACTCTGTGCCAGGGCTGGGATGCAAGTGACAGGAACCAGCAGACATAGATGCAGACATGCATACACCATACATACATACGTACATACATACATATATACATGGAGTACTGTGTATAATCAATGACATGAAAATCTGCTCGAGGGGAGCACGTCTCCTCTTTCTCGCACTTACGCGATCCAGCTATACGCACCTTCCAGCCTCCAGCTAAGAGACAGTTGGAGACGCGTTGAGAAGAAAAGGGGAGTCGTACACCCCTCGAGTGGCAGACTTACTTGTCACCGTTCGTACCTTCGTTTCGCAAAAGAGTCGCCTGTGTTACCTCACCGGTGGAGCGCAAATATAACTGTAGTTTTGACACTAGAACCACCGGATGGCTCAAAATCAGCTTCATTTCATCTTCCCCGGTTGTTCAACGGATAACAGATTCTCTGAGAAAGTACTAGAGAAACTGGTTTAGCGATACGCAAACTGAATTGCAAATTATCTGAAGTCTCAGTGATTGCACTGTTCAGGTTTCTGTAGAACAATTCAACTGATCGGTGGTTCTAGTGTTAAGTGTGTAACGTTCATGCGAGCGAATAAAGAACGTTTATAATCTAGAATTGTTATGATGGAAATACGATTGGTTCCGAACAGTAACGCAGAGAAACAGTAATGTTTGAAGTGATTATTCTTTTGGTATGACTGTTGTTCAGTTTATCGAAAGCATTCCATTGGAAATGATGGGAAGTTGGACAGGTTTTCGAGCAAGGATTTCTCTACCTATAGCTGTTAAGTCCTCCGGTGTCATACGCGTGATAGTAGCAAGATCATAACCAGCTGAAGCAAACAAAGGGAAGTATTCCTCGAATTGAAGTTCAGTCAGCCAAGCATGAACGACGTCGAGATCCGCCGGTCTGTCCGGATGACTGCCCAGTGAGCTTATTGAACATCTGGGTGACGAAGCGAGAGCACCGGGTCCTCTAGGACCCAGGTGATATCCGGAAGCTCTGCCAGAGTCCAATGAAGCTGTGGAATGCCTGGAACCAGAACCTGATCCTGAACTGCCTGGACTGTCTCTGCCGGGGCTCTGAGTCATGTCGATTCCTAAAAGGAAACAAGTATCGTCAAACAAACGTTCCAAGTTTTCCAGTTTTAGAAGGAAATAAGCCAGTGTCCTGGCTGAGATCCTTCCTTGTGGTTGCTACGGGCAACGCGCCACTCGAATATTTCAACATTTCTGTTTCCCAGTGATTCAAGGTTGACTGTATCTATTCTACAATGATTCAAAGTTGACTGTTTCTATCTTACAATGTATCAAAGTTGAACGTTCCTACTTCACAATGAATCAAAGTTGACCATTACTATTTCACAATTATTCAAAGTTGACCATATCTATTCAACAATAATTCAAAGTTGATCATATCTATTCAACAATAATTCAAAGTTGACCGTTTCTATTCTACAATGATTCAAAGTTGGACGTTTCTATTCAACAATAATTCAAAGTTGACCGTTTCTATTCTACAATGATTGAAAGTTGGACGTTTCTACTTCACAATTATTCAAAGTTGACCATATCTATTCAACAATGATTCAAAGTTGACCATATCTATTCAACAATGATTCAAAGTTGACCATATCTATTCAACAATGATTCAAAGTTGACCATATCCATTCCCCAACGATTCAAAGTTGACCATTTTTATCCCCCAACGATTCAAAGTTGATCATTCCTATTTCACAACGATTCAAGGTAGACCATATATCTACTCTATAATTCGCAACATTAAAAACTATTTGACAATATTGAAACCGATTGGTCGATGGTAGCACCTTGATCCTCGGCGTGGGCGTACTTCCCGACCACCGGTGGGAAAGCGAATCCTGGATGAGTAAAAATCGGGCCGGGACTCTTTCCAGACGGCATCCCGTAGGAACCATCGTCCGTGTTGCCCGGACCGCTTCCGGCAAGGAAGCAGCTATCCTCGCTGCTCGCGTAACCAGCGGAACCAAAAGAGGATCCGGAATGCCGAAACACGTCTGGCACAGCCGGCGGTGCCACTTTCTTCGCCTGTGTCACTGCTTTGGACGGCCGGTTCATGCCGCCAACTGCAAACAAATAATGTCCTCTCTTTATTATCCCATCGTTTATTCGACAGTTCACTCGAATAACCCGTCAACGACGGTAATGCGACAAGTTACACGCACCGCTACAACCGACAATGATAATGCAGGGCTCCTTTCTCTCCGTTACACGCGTTGATTCGACTAATTTCAAGGAAACGGTTCAAGTATCAACAATTTTAACACTTAGCCTAAAAGCAACTACGACCTCCTCCATTATCTTCAATTGAACTCATTCAATTCAGTAAAAAACTTCATTTATTTCGTAGCAAGAAGCATACTTGATGAATTACAAGTAATCACTTCAAGACTTACTAAACAAAAGAAAAACAGTAAAACGCACGTTGCTAAGTGAAAAATGGGAGTTCCTCCATTCTTAGTGTTAAATTCCTTCACATTCCCCCGAATAATAATAATCTTTCCCTAAGCTAAATAAAGATAATACTATTACCAACTTAATGCTAAGATTACTATGCTAATATTCCTCCGATTCATTTCGATTCATCTAAAACTCATCAAATAATTACTCTTTTGTATCGCTCGTCTATGCTGCCTTTCTCTGATCTAAAGTTTGGGAGTATCTTTCGATTCGTGTCGATTTCTATCCGACGACGGAATTTCCTCCGAGTTAAGAAAAGGTATTCGCGTTTTCAACCGGCTAGAACCGCGCTGCACGAGGGGTGCTAGAGGAACGTCCAACCGGCAGTCGCCTGGTCTCTCGCGGACCCTATTGAATTGCTTCCTACTTTAACTGCATTAATGGAACTAACTTGCTGTTCGAGTCGCTCTAACGGCTTATTTATTTATTTATTCACTTAGTACTTATTCAATGTTAGATCGCGGCGCTGTCGATGAAAGATGATCCTCGAGGATCTTCAATAACGTCCTCGGTCTTTATTATTAATCGCGTCGAACGCCTGTTAACAATGCATCGATGATATTCGTGACTTCGACGCACTTGTCTTGGGCTCGTACGAAATCGACCTAACAGTTCGTACAATCGCAACGCATATGGCGCGACTATTTCTGGAGGAACCGGCAAGATGTTTCCGGTCTTGAAGAGAACCACCCCTCGGCCATTCAACAATTTCGCCGCCTAAAAATACCGTTTTCCCTTTCGTTCATCGAACATTTTCGATGGCTCGCAACAGAGGATCCGTTTTTACTCTTACGGGACGTCGAAACTACAGTATTCTTCAACCCCTTTACGATAACGATCGTTGATGACGATTTCCATGGAATCTAATGCTCGAGTGGCATTTGAGACAAACTGAAGTAAAATTCTTACAGTAGAATAGAATACGAAACACTATTAACCCTTTGCACTCGAGAGTAAAACTATAAGATCCGTTTTTACTCTTATGGGGCGTCGAGACTTCTACAGTTTTCTTCAACCCCTTTATGGTAACAATCGTTGATGACAATTTCCATGGAATTTAATGCTCGAGTGGCATTCGAGAGAAACTAAAGTAAAATTCAATGCTCTTACAGTAGAATAGAATACGAGACACTGTTAACCCCTTGCCGTACAATGACGAGTGAGACTCGCGATGAAGATATCTAGACTAATTTAACAACAATCGATGTTATTCATTACCCACGGATCAAAGCAAACAACTATTTTGCTATTATCATTGTAGTACGTTCAAATAAAATTTCCACTTGAAATAGAATGGATAATTTTGCATTTCTTCGAAATTGTCGATAGTAAAATGGTACATCAGCTTAGCGGTGAAAGTAAATAGTACGACGCTAAGGGTTTAACCCTTTGCACTCGTTTCTCTGAGAAATTATTATAGAAATTCATTTAGCACTACGCAAATTGTATATCAATTGAAGTCTGAACAGATGCACTCTTGGAGTTTCTATAGAGAAATTTTAAAAGGTCAATCGAAATGCTCGGTAGTTTAGTGTTAAGCTTCAGCCCTTAGCAGTCCTATGCCTCGACATTTTATTCTATTGTAACCTCTACACCTGTTTTAACAATTTTAAAACTCCGAAATATTCTCGAATAAACAAATATAGCGTGATATTAAGCTGTAATCGAATGAACTAACGTCGACGTGAACCTCAAACTGAGAAACCAATAGCACTTCGGACCGCAAAGGGTTAGTGTAGTAGTGTTACAACTTTGGAAACGCCCTTAACGCTACTAGCAGCCGAACGCTTTTAGAACGTTTCTTTCCTAGAAACTAGGACATCCACTGAAATAACCAGTGTTACTATTCTTATGATTGATAACGTGATAACGCCAATGAAAAGATTCCCCGTGAATGTCTCGAGGCATCGATATATTCGGAGGAACCTCTGACAAAGGTGAATCGGCAACCATCTTAGTCTCCGTTGCGATTCGAACGTTCGATTGTCGTCGTCCTGGGGGGAATGAAAAACTACTTCGAACCGGATCAGAGTTTTCCGAGAGACGGTGAACGAATGGAAAGGCTGTCCATCGGACGGGGATGAATAATCGCGAGGATACTCGTCGAGCACGGGTTTGGCGACCTTGAGTGGCAAAGAAAAGAGCCTCCGGCAAGGATACGGCACTGCGACACGCGAATTTACGTTTGTGTCTCCGTGCACCCACGATTCTTACTACAAAGGGCCGCCGTTTCATTAACCGAGGCCGAGTGACCAACAGAACTGCGCACGCGCTCCCGTTATTAATCAGGCCATTAGCGTTTACGTCGATTAACAACTATACCGCCGCGGCTGGACGTCCCCCTGCGACAATGGGATCGACGGATGCGCTGATGTTCCTGCGATAGAATCGTTTCGGCTCGTCGTCTAGAAAACTGCGATCGTTTAACCCTTTTCACTTGAGAGGTGACTCTCGCTCATCACTTGATTTTATATAGTAAAGTTGTAAAATTTAGTATTTAACCGTTCGCGGACGAACGTCGACGTTTCGGCGAGATGAAACTTCCTTGAAATGTACAAAACCTTCGGCAGATTGAGCGAAATTATACATGGATTGCTTAATTAATAGAAGAAAAGTATACTACGCGCCGATCTCTTGTTGTTCGACTAGTTAAGTCATTTGTTACTTAATGTTACGAATATAAAGTCGCGAATAATTGGATTCCCATCGCAAATACATAGCGAACGTGTTAACGAACGTTACTCGACTTATTCCAACGTGCACAGAGTTTCCGAATAATTACGGAAAAAGCAGCGAGGAAGTTCGATTCGTATTGGTTCGCTGGTCCGCGGAGGAAACCAGTAACGCGAGAAAAGCTTCCTCGGCGTCAGGCATAATATAACACGCTGCAACCGGGACACGAACGATTCCCATAAGATCGTGTTGCTGCCGAGTGTGCAACGCGTTCCCGAGATAACAGCGCGGATAACTTTCAAAGCCGACTCGATCGTCCGCCGCGCGACTCGATATTAGCGCAATCGAAATCCAAGCGAGATGGATCGCAGCTCTTACGGCTTGGCCGTGGTCCGACAAGTTTCGAGGAGGGAGAGGCGAGAGGGCACGGCCGCTGTAGTCATGGCAACAGCGACGCCCCAGTTTCGGAAACTTCTCATTGGCCGAATTCCGCAGCAAACGGGAACAATTTGAATCAAACGGAAGAAGACAGTCGGATAGAACGACAAAGAACATGGGCGTACCGACCGTTGCACCAGAGTTGGCAATCGACGTTACTTTCTGCAGAGTTTTCATCGACGAACAGTAAATTGGTATCGAAAATCGAGGAAGACGGAAACCGAGGAATCACGCGTGTTACTGCCAACTCTCGTGCAACGGCCGGTACGTGCCACGGGCCTTCGGGTTCGCGAAAAGGAATGTTCCAGCGCAGTCAGCGCAGTCAACGAAGATACTCGACACGGAACGCGGATGTGACTTCGTGAAACGCTCGCCGCGGAAAACGGAGAACGCACACGACACGCGAGCCGCGGATAATCTCGTCCCCTCTGCAATTATCGATTCGAAGCTGACCAGAAAACAGGCCGAACTGATCCCCGACCTGTTCCCATACGATTCATCGTCGATAGTTCGCGGGAGACGGAGATTCGATGTTCTTCGCGGGACGTCAGAGACAGCGAAATCGCAATTTTTTCTAAGGAGACGTTCGTTTTTAAAGGAACAACGTCGATTTCTGGTGAATCGAGCTGGAAACGTTCACCGGGAATCTCGTTCGTCATTCCATGGCGAGCAGTCGTCTGTATCAAAGCGAAAAATTGCAAGGCAATGCCAGTTTGCGGATTGTAGGACGGTTCGAAACGCAGCGTGCGTTTGTTCGGTCACGGTTTCACCCTTTGATTCTTCAAAGAACACGAAACCATCAGCAGATTCGGCCAAATTACGTAACGGATGCTTAAATGATAGAGGAAAAGGAAATTACGCACTGATCCCTTGCTATTTGAGTTATCAAATCATTCGTTCGCAACTCGGTATTGAAAATATGAACGTTTGATCTCAAAACGTCGACGTTCGTCCGCAAACGGTTAAGGGATGAAATCATCCTGTGGCCGGTTCAATAATTTTGTACAGTTCAACGACGGTTCTAAATGAAACGACAGCTCATCCAGAACTCGATGCAATCTTCAATTAACGTCTACCTTGATCGCAAGACTGAACATTTCTCTAGGAAAGGAACAGGAATCGTCGGTTGGACACGTGAAAATCATCGAAGTCCGCGAACACGTGGCCAATCGTTTCTAAATTGATCGGGGATCGTGTAATTAACCGAAAGTTCGAGTAACAGGGCCGCTGTTCAAACGGTAAAAATGAAAACGCGACTTCCAAGCCCTGCGGACTGGCCGAACGAAGAGGAGGAGAAAGGAAACGTGAGCTGTCTGGGGTAGGAAGAGGGGACACGCCACACCGTAACATTCGATACACACACGCGGAGGAATAATGCTGTATAAAGAACCGATGGGGGCGTAGGGCGCAGCCGGAGGATTAGAGTGGCGGTTAAGAGGGCTGGAGAAGAAGAGGAACCGGGAGGACGCCAGTTAGAAAAGAAAGAAACGCAGAG